TCAGGGCTCATCAGAGGATGAGAGGTGTGCTAAGAAAATCTGACCAGTTGCTTTTGTGACAGGCTTTTTTTCCAGGGGTGAGGGAGAAATAGACTTGTAGACGTTTACCTTTTTGTCTTTGTCCTCACCATTCCTGGTATCCCTGGGTTTTTCCTCACACTTTTCCTGATGGCTTTTAGCATGGCCTGAGAGCCCTGGCCGGCCATCTCACCTTCCTCTTTGTGCCTCTCCACCCAGCCTTTCCACCCTCACACCTCCCGGCGTCTGAAAATGGAAAGCTATGGATGCTCTCTTGAGGGATGCTGTGCTCTGTGTGGGGTGACAAGTTCAAACGACTCTCTTCTGCTCCCCACCCTCACTGTCATTATTTATCTGCTACATGGCCCACAGTTTTATAACAGCACAGCCTTAAAACGTTCCTTCTAAGTTTAATTTCTCTCCTTGTGGCCTTTTAAGGACGTGAATTGGCTTTCAGCAGTAGATTCCTTTTCGTACGGTCATGGGAGCCTCTCTGTAAGACTGCTACACCCATCCCACACACAGGTCCGAGACGCGTCTGTTTCCCTTTCCCCTAAAACCTTAAAATATAGTTTTCAAAACTGATTGCACTGTAACTTATTCATACAAGCCTGACCCACCCCCGTGGCGTAGGTTTCCTTACAAGAATTTGCTAGCTGTTTCCAAAAGGAGTTCTGTGTCTCTATTTTTAAAGCATAAATTCTGTCTTAACTTTGGAGAACTGGTTTGGCTTGAGTTTTTCTCAGACATGGGAACTTTTGACCCAAGGTCAGTTTTTCAGATTGTTGAAAGAGAACTCAAAGGTCCCGAGAACATACTGATCAAAACTGGGTGAAGTTCCTAGTGCAGTACAGACTCCTACCTACTAGTCATGCAAACTTGGCGTGTGTCCCTCGGCTCCTTCATCTGTAACATAAGAGGATTAGAGTGTATAACCTCCAAGGGATGCTTTGATCCCACTGATTAACAGTAATAGCTAATAAATGTAGAACACTTATTATGCATCAGGTACTGTTTTAAGTGCTTTTCTCCTCAATATAAGAGCTTTATTGAGATAAAATTTGCATACTGTATAATGTGCTCTTTTAAAATATAAAATTCAATTGTATTTAGTTAATTCACAGATATGTGTAACCATCACCATAGTCAACTTTATCGCTCCAAAAGAAACCCTGTACTCACTCCCCAACCCCCAACCCCCTTCCAGCATTAGGCAACTATTAATCTAATTTCTGTCTCTATAGATTTGCCTGTTATGGACATTTTATATAAATAGAAACACATAATATGTGGTCATTTGTGATTTGCTTCTTTTACTTGATGTTTTCAAAGTTCATCCATGTTGTTGGAGGTATCAATACTTCATTCCTTTTTATGGCTGAATAATATTCCATTGTATGGATTTACCACATTTTATTTATTCACTTGTCAGTGAATTGACGTTTGGACTGCTCCTGCTTTTTTGGCTATTATGAATAATGCAGCTGTGAACATTCTTGCACAAGTTTTTGTGTGGATTTATGTTTTCATTTTTCTTGGATATATACTTAGGAGAAGAATTACTAGGTGATATGGTAATTTAACTATTTAACCTTTTGAGAAACTGCCAGGCTGCACTATTTTACATTTTAACCAACAGTGTATGAGGTTCCCCAATTTCTCCACATCCTCACCAACACTTACTATCTATCTTTTTTATTATCGCCATCCTGGTGGGTGTGAAGTAATATCACACTGTGGTTTTGATTTGCATTTTCCTGATGGCTGATGATGTCAAGCATCTTTTCATGTGCTTATCAGCCATTTGTATATCATCTTTGGAGAAATGTTTATTCAGATCCTTTACCCATTTGTAATTGGGTTGTCTTTTTATTATTGTATATTTTATTA